TAAGAGATTGTGTACAAATATATAATTTTTTTTTTTTTTCAAATTAAAATTTTTATATTTTTAAATAATATATTCTTTAGAAATTACCAGAGAAGAAATTAAAAGCTCTGCATATGGATTTATTACTTCAAGATAAAGAAGAAATTGCTTTGAAGAAAATGAAAAGTGCAGGTCTTGATAAAGATGGATTAAAAGAAGCTACTTTAAGAAAGTCACTTAATGGTATTTGAATTTCCTTTAAAAAGTTAAAAAATCATCTGTGTTATAGTTACTAATATTAAACTTTATTAATTTAATACTTAAAAATAAGATAAAATCAATATGTAATTTTAGACTAGAAGTTTAAAACAAATATTTACATGTTTTACATACAAATACTGTATTTGAATTGAAAATTCCTTATGTTTTTGTGAATTTTATGTTATAACTTAGAAATTTAAGTTATACTGTTTATTTTAAAAATCATATTACATCAAATTATATTCTAAATTATGACTTTTTTCCTCTGCAGCAATTATTAATAAATATGGATTGGCAGATCACTTTGCCACTGATGAAGAAAACACTCATAAAAATCAAGTTTCTTCTGAAGTACCAGAGGAAATGATAGATAAGAGATTTTTCAAAGATAAGAAACTGAATAAACTATGGACTCATGTAGAAAAGTCAGATTTTTCAGGTAATTTTATTGAGCAAAGAAAATTGCAAAAATACATTTTAATATACTTTTAAATATTCATATCAAACATAAGACTGATTTAGGTTGTCACGTGATGTTTAAACAGGTTGCCAGTGTTTGTCTACGTAATTTCCTCGTGCAGTTTCCTACACAAATTTAAATAGAAACTTTTCGTATTGCTTAGCGTTGGGTGTGGTAACAACGATGGCAAACACGAAATTATTAATTTTACTTATTGTTATAATTGGATTCTTATATATCGAAGCGTCTAACAAATATTCAGAAGAAATGAATAATCCTAAATATCGTAAACTCGAAAATAACTTTCGAATGCAGAAAATTAACTTGCTGTGGGAAAAAGCGAAAAAGGTAATTTAAACAGCATCAAATACCATTGTTTTAATGTTATAATTTTAAAAAAATGCGGTTCTGAATGAAAGGTTTGGATCCCTCTTGCTAAAGAATTCATGATATTAAAAAATTATATATGATATGTACAATTTTACATCTTATTCAATTACATATGTATATAATCATGATATATATGAAATATAAAATTGTACATGATATATAATGAACAAAATTTCAATATTCACTTACATAGCTGACTACTTTAACTTTTCTTATATTAAATTACTTTACTCATAATCTGTATAAAGTAACTTAATATAAAATACTAGCTGCAAGGACCCGCTTTGCTGAGTTTTTATTTGTTCGTACATTTGTATGTTATATAGTTTTTTATATATATAAAAGACTGTTTTTCTAAGTAATCTAGAATCTATCTGCAAGGACCCGCTTCGCTGGGTTTTTAAAAAGTAACGATAGTGAAGATTAAGATAATTACATTATAGCCAATCTTACCCGTTTTCACAGAATGCAAGAATTAGGTTCCTTGTTTTCAGTCTAATTAGAGACTTGGTCCCAATTTGATTTCTGAACGTCTCCTGTTCACATCAAGTCAAACGAACTATTTTCAACGTTTCTGGAATGTTTACAATCGTTCTATAATCGAACCAATATTCGAATTTTATGTTCGAATTTAATTCGAACA